TAGTCCCCTGTTTTCCAGCTTGATACCCTACCGACCCTCTGACCATTACCATATTCATACACCATGGTATTTGTTATGGTACCTCAAGGTTAAATAACCTTATTAAATAATAGGTTAGTCAAGGTTAAATAAAGGTAAAATAAAAATAAAGGTACTTCAAAGAGGAAGCACTACCATGGTACATGTCAAAACAAACAAAGTAATACCGCTCTTCTTTTTGGTACTTTCTTGTTAGTGAGTTCTTAGGTATAACAATTTTAACTCACCTCTATTAACCAAGCCAATATCCACGTAAATACTAGCACACAGAGATCCAAGTGAGTAACCGAAAATTGGCCCGATGACTCCAAGTGTGTGCAGGCAACCTACGGGGAAAAAAAAAACTGGACTGAGGGACAAGGGAACTTCAGTTTGAAATGTAAAAAAAAAAAAAAACGCACAATTTTCTCACCAATGTAAAAAGCAGAGTTTTCTGGGTGTGCATAATCATCTATGAAAGACATTCCCAAAGGACCGATGCTGGCTTCCCCGATGCCACGAATAATGTTTCCCAACAGCACAATCACCCATGTGGGCGAGCTTTCCTCTTCCCCTTTTTGGCATCCTATACAACCCATATAGAGTGCTCTGTTGGGTATTTTACTGCTTTTTACAATTAAAATATCCCACATGCTTTTCCACATATAACCATGCATTACCGGACACAAGCTGTTGAACAGTATTCTGGGTGTCAGATGAGCATGTGGATCTCACTGTGAAATTATCAGCATCATTAGTGTGGGCGGCAGCTGTATCGTACTTGTACCTGTCAGAAACAAACAGACACATAAATAGTAAAAGCATTAAAAATACAGATCTTCAAGAATACTGATCGTTATGAGGTGGATCTTTATTAAATATTTTAGAATTAATATACTAATTATGTGATGGCCATAAATTAATTTATTCAATATTACGTTAAAATAATTGATAGATACAATGACTTGAAAAGACATCTTTTATAATCAAAAAATCTATTAAAATATCAGAAAAGGAAAATTTTACTTAATGCTTGGACTAAATACTATGTTTTTGAGTCATTCAATTTGAACTTTTCATGAAAATGTTATAAAAGTGTTTTAAAATCATACGAAACTAAACGTGAATACAAAGAGTAAAATTCTAAGGATTTATAAAAGATTTGTTTCTGTTCTTTATCGCAGACACCCTCATTTGTCATTGACCCATGAACGTTACTCACCGGTCCATCATGAAGTGAGGTAAAGCCATTATCAGTGTCCCTATACCCATCAGCAGGACCCCTGCTCCAATGATCTTGGGCCTGTGAAACTTGGCGCCAAAGTAGCTTACCACAGTGATGACCAACAGATTACCTGGAAGCAAATGTGACGTTATTTAAAAAAGTTCTTTGTTGTTTCATAGCATACCATCAATCAACTGTCCCAGATTCAGTCACATTACAGCCTCAGTGGTGTGAGTCACTGCTATAAGCACTCATCTAATGGGTGAACCTCGGCCCTCATTTCTCAGTGCAGCTTGACGCATCTCAACTCACCCATTTCAAAACTGCCATCGATGATACCAACAGTAGAACTTGGGATCTCAAACCGCCTCTCAATCTGAGTGATGGTGCTTTTGGTGTAAGCCCCCGTCAGGGATTTGGAGAAATAACAGAAGGCAAGTACACCAATAAAGATCTTTCCAGTCACAAGGGTAGAAAAGAGATTAAGTTAGAAGATTTAACCTTTTTTGTGGCAGAAGCTATTATACACCATTATACAACAAATAATCAGCTAATAGTGGTTCTACAATTGTTGCTCGGTTAAACATGCATATGGTCAAAGACAATGTCTCTTGCCTTTAGACTTGGGGAGCAGCATTTGGCCTGAGATGTTTTCTTATTACTGTCTGAATACTCCATTGGTCTGGACTCAAAGAACCCCTCCGGGCTGCCCTCCACTATCATAGTAAACAATGGGCTAGTGAAGAGGTAAACAAAAGTCAAAGTTGTGTTCGGATGTGGAAAAATTTAAAATGGAGATTTAAAAAAAAAAATAAGTATAAAAATACTAATAAAATACAAAATAACATTATTGAAACAAATAAAATAAAATTCTAATAATAAAATGTTGACAGACTAAACTATTTTACCTTTCTTAAGGGTCCTTCGGCCCAAATGGACCCGAAGCATTTAAATATTTTTTTTTTTAAATCATAGGATTTGAATAGTCTAAGTGGTTGTAAAAAAAATAGTCACACTCAGGACCTTCGGGTCCAAATGGACCCGCATAGGAAATGAATGGGAAATTGGCAAAAATGTGAAAATACAGAGCCACGATCCAGAAAAAAAGCACACAACAGTGAAGGGGTGAATCTATAAAACATCTAGAGTGCAAAACAGACACACACACACACACACTTTTATACACACACACACTTTTATACACATACACACTAATAAATTCAGATTACATATGGGTTTTGAATTTTTTAAATGCTCTGTTTGTCCACCAGATGGCATCCATCTCATTTCAGACATTGCTTTCATGAGGCCTAGGCTTGACTCTAAAATGAAATACAGCTTTAAAAAAAATTAAAAAAATTCTATTATATTCAATGGGGAAAAAATGGGTCATAATTATTGCATTAATATTAATTATAAATCATTTTTATTTTTGAAATTATCTCAAAACACCAAAAAAAGAAAAGAAAAAATATTATAAAAAACAAGTAAAAAAAAAAAAGATGATTTTTTTAAAATAAATATTAATCCCACCCTTCCGGCCCATTTGGACCCGAAGGTCCTGAGTGTGACTCTGAAATGAAGGACCCCAGAGGGTTACAAAAATAGACAACAAAATACATTTGAGAACCATTGCGTCATACGTTCTGTCCTGATGTTACAGTTTCTTTTAAATATACAAATGTGTATCCATCCACTTCTATCATGTCAGAGATGATCCAAGGCAAATACATTTTAATCAAATGCAAACATTAAAATATTATTAATTTACACTTTTGAAACACTCACATGTCTAGATGTGTCTTAGAGAGGAAGTAGTTGAATATGCAGTTGAAATATGCCCAAAGCGGGATCTCTGAAAGTGTCTTTTATATTCACCTACAAGTCATTAGACAGTTTTATTAACCTTTAACTTGCACTGAGTGTTCCTTTAACCCAATTGTAGATCAATCAAAAACCATCACATTTACAGGCTGTTACAGTTATGTTCAGTTTGTTTTAGTTTTCATGGACATTTAGTTTGTTTTCATCAGTCACATGTTCTTTGTTTCCCGCCACTCATCTGTTTCCATGGACACTAAGCACTCTTCTCAGCTGCTCATCATTTAGTTCGTCACCACTGTGTATTTAAATTCGTACTTGTTCACTCTTCACTTGTTGTTATAATTTGTGTTAGTGCACGCTGCTATGCCTGCTGCCTTCTAGTTTAATAAACCTTTTTGATATTTTATAATCCTGTCGTCCGTCTTCTTCTTCTCCAGACCCCGTGTGACACATACAGTATAGTTTTTTTTAACAAGTTTACATGTTGAACATTCAACACATATCTGTTGGCAGTTCACATGTGCCTTTTCTGTCTTACAAAATCATAAACCTGCAGTTAATATGAACTAAATTATGGCAAAGAAATCACTTTCTCACAAATAATTGCAGGTCCCAACAGGTTTGCAATGCTTCAACAGTTTTTCAGCTACTGGCAAACCCAGTGCCCCGTCAGACCGTTTTGGCGTCCTATACACAATGTACCAGTTAGTCATTTATAGGTACTCTTTGGTCATTTCATGACTTACTAATTGACAAAGTAACTATGACATCTATGGTTGCCAACTTCAGCAAAAGGAAAATAATGGACAATCTTCATTCTTTATTGGAACAGGAAGGCAGTTAAACCAATTCTATTAGCAGTTGATGAGGTCAGATGACCTTACATGTTCTGTCACCAACACCATTAAAGGGCAGCTACATCATCACATCCCCAGTTCTCCACTGAACGAGTATGACGAGACGCAGAATCGTGTTCCATACCAGCCCGTTCTCATCCTTTGGCGTCATACATGTGACGCTTTGTACATTTTGTCGAAATCTTACGCACATGGCATCGTTTAGCGTCAATATGAGACGCAGATCCCAAGGCGTCATACAGGTGACGCTCGTCTAAATCCGACGCACATGGCATCCTTTAGCATCAATATGAGACGCAGAACCCAAGGCGTCATACAGGTGACGCTCGTCTAAATCCGACGCACATGGCATCGTTTAGCGTCAATATGAGACGCAGATCCCAAGGCGTCATAACCGTAACCCTACCCCAGACCTAAACCTACCCATAACAGTGTGTGTTATATTGACGCTAAAGGATGCCATGTGCGTAAGATTTCAACGAAATGTCATATGGCCTCACCTATATGAAGCCAAAGGATGAGAATGCGTTGTCCATACTCAGGGAACCAGTGTTATATGCATAACTGAGATGTTCCCTTCCATAGGTAGCCTAACTCAACGCTGCATCATGAGCTGATGCTAAGATGAACTGCATACCTACAAAATGCCTGGCTAACAAATTTGTGAAATTGCAAGTTTAGCACAAGTTTTGTGAGCACATGAATGAATCAACCCAGGCTTGGGATCGAATTTATATCAACAAAACCTAAAGAATTTTTCCGGGGAAGCCCAACCTGCCGCAGCACTAACAGCATATAAAGACGCACCCTTAGATAGCGCCTTAGAAGAGGCTACACTACTGGTGGAGTTGGCCCTAACCAACAACAGAACCAACTTAACGGTCAGAAATCAGAAAGGGTCAGGTCGGGGCAACTTGTTTTCCGACAAACGGAAGATCGGCAGAATGTTTGAGGAAACTGCTTAAAACCAGGTATTATTTCAGCAATTACATTTGTTGCCACATTTACTTATAACTGTACCATTCCAAGATTTTTTTTTTTTTAATATTATGTAAAATAATGTACAGAGCCACATATTAAAGAATGGAGATTTATTCTTGTTTTCAAATAGAGAGACACACTTTGGATCACGAAACAGATACAGTAGAAGAGAATAAAAAGTGTTATGGGGAGTAACATTGTTTTCCATATGGTTCTGGTCACTGAATTTATTAGTAGTTCTCCACCCATTACCATCTCAGCAATGCCTCCTGAATTCCCTGAAAGAGTTAAATAGCGGTGTGGCGGTGCTCATCGCTAGCCTTCAGTAAGGGTTGCTTCTGTATTTTCTGTGGTATCAGTTTTAGATCCATCATGGTGGCGCTTCTCTGGGGCCTGAAGTTCAATTTCATGTTGTTTGCTGGCTGTTTGCTGTAATGCTTTGACCTCTTCTTTACTAAACTGCTTCTGCAGCAGCACGATGACAGCAATGATGAAGAAGTAGGAGCATCCCCTTAAACATGTGGTCAGGCTCAAGAAGATTACTCTGAAAACAGGACACCAAGGTTTTTGCACAGACATCCAAGGTTTTCCAAATGTGAGCTTTAGGACTTTGTTTAGTAAATATCCAATATATCTAAATGGGCATTTAAAGACGTTATAAGCATGCTTTTTCTTTATTTGATACTAATAAAGACAATGGCATATAATTACATACACAAATACACACCTGTACATATCTGAGTCGTACATACGACAGGCTCCTCGCCCACCGCACTTCTTCATTCCCCATTTTAAACACGTTGAGTCAATGAGAGCTCCGAAATATACCGGAGCAGGAATACCACCTCCAGAAAAATATTAGTCATTAATGGAGTTTGCACAGAACATAATATGCATAAAATGTCAAATACAGTACAATATTGCCCAGCTTATAAGTGTGTATACATGTATGCTTTCTCGCCTTAGTAGCTGAAGTAACACTGAATAGCAATGAACTGAATATTAATTGTACCTAGAGTTCGCATCACAAGAGTTTGAATACCCAATGCCAGTGACTTCAGCTCAGGTGTAATGCATCTAAAAACACATTATATACAGTAAATACATATCATACAGGGATGGAATTTGAATGCATGAATAGTTAAAATAACACTTAAAGGAACACTCCGACTTTAGACTGAGAAAAGCCAGAAAATGTATTTTTGGCTTATGTGGATGAAAGACAACAACTCCCAGAATGCACTTGCTTCGCTGCCCTAGGAGGCCACGCCTACCGGTAACGGAGCGCAGTGTTAAACAACAAGTCTAGGCTACTAGTGTTATGATGGTTGCAGGATAGACGAACCCAAAAGCAGACTGATTGCTCTACACACAATTTATTGACAAAACAGAAAACAAAAACCCACGAGGGGGCAAAACAGGACAGATGGGGCAGTACAACTAGACTAAGACAGGAAATAAACTAGGATTAGATACTGACTGATAAAGACAAGATGAAGAAAACAAACAACTACATAAACTCACAATTCTTAATACAATATTCAGACAAAGTACTCACAGGACTCTCACAAAGAATATCACGCACAGGTTGACAATGTACCGACACAGGACAGCAAACACAAGGGGATTAAAAAGGGAGACACTAATGACAAAGACAGGTGAAGCTGACTAGACAAGGAAAGGTGAAACTGACTAGACAATAATGACAAGACGAGGATAACAAGGGGGCGGGGTAACATAACGAGACAACACAAGCACATGGCACAAAACACAAGACCATGTGCTTGCACACAAAACATGGGTCTGTCATGATCCTGCCTCAAGACTAGAGAAATGAAATGACAAGAGGGCAGAATCATGACAACTAGTGAGTCTCCGTGATGAGTCTGCCCAAAAATGAGTTTCGAGATCGCCCAAAATGTCCGGGATTCGGCTTTTGCGTTCTACAGTCGTCATTCATTATGTTTACTGTGGCGAGCAGCACGAGTGAGGGCCGCGGGAGAACGGCGCGAGGCCGGTGGCGTGATTACCGATGAGCGACACCTGTGAGACGCACCGGTCTCGTATCTCTCACGGAGGAGGGAGAATTTTCTTAGCAATGTTAAAACGCACATCAACCGATCACTTGTTTAGCGCTCATGTAAACACTACATTCAGATTCACCAATCGAATGAATTCAGTTAGATTGAAACAAAAGGTGTGCATGCAAACAATGAATGGCGACTGCAGAAAGCAAAAGCTGAATCCCGGACATTTTGTACGATCTCGACGGCCGGACATGTCCGGGAAAAAGAGGATGAATGGTAACCCCTACTACTCAGCTTTCTCCTACTAAGTTACTCAGCTTTCTCCACAGAACAATAGCCTGCTAGCTTAGCTTCCAAAAAAGATGTCTGACACTTATGTGTACATTCTGTGAGTGAGATCCCACCCTCTATGGGCGGGTTGAGAACATGTGGGACAGCCCCTACTACTGACTGTAGTCTTTAGCCTCTGGCCAAAAAATCATCCGATGACGCAAAATGACGATTTTTGCGTCATCGGAGGATTTTTTCCAGACAAAAAATACATAAATCTCTCGTCTCAGGGGGATATGAGGGTGGAAAGCACAGTCATTTGAAAATACTACAGGTTTTCTACTAATACAAAGCTTAATGCTAAATCCTGAAGTATCCCTTTAACCGTATAAATACTGGGAACTATATTCGTTGGAAAAAGTTTGCGTTATTTTGTCACTTATTTGGATTAGTATGCTAGCTGCAACCATTTACATCCAGTCTTTGTGCTAAGCTAGGCTAGCGGTGGGTGCGTCAAACAGACTTATAGCACACACGGAGATGAAAAAGGTATGTATGGACTTATCTAACTCTGGGGATAAGGTGAATAGGCTAAAGTCCCAAAAAGTCGGAGTGTTCCTTTAAGTAACACTTTAGTTTGGGGAACACATTCACTATTAACTACAACTTTTGCCTCAATAAAATCCTAATTTACTGTTTATTAATAGTTAGCAAGGTAGTTGTTAAATGTAGGTATGGATTAAGGGATGCAGAATATGGTCATGCAGATTAAGGCATGTGCTTTATAAGTACTAATATACTAAACAACCAATATACTAGTAATATGCATACTAATAAGCAACTAATTAATAGTGAGAATCGGACCTTAAATTATAAAGGTCCAAATATCTAATATATACTTATTATATATTTGTTCACACACGCACACACAACACACACACACACACACACACACACACACACACACACACACACACACACACACACACACACACACACACACACACACACACAATAAATATTAAATACAATCCACCGGTTTCACAGACAAGGTTCAAGCGTAGTCCCAGACTAAAACAAATGTTTGAGCTGTTTTAACTGAAAGCAACTTGCACTGATATATCTACAATCCTTTAGTCACTTTTTCAAAACTCTTCACAAAGTTCTCCTAACCAAATTTCAGCTTAGCAGAGCAGTTCAAAGCACTAGAACTATACCATAACACTTCATTCATGTCTCAAATCAACTCATACTTCCATAACACTGGCAAAGATTTTCATCCACCAAAACAAAGTTTGTCACTCATAAAACAACGACCTAAAAAACACTAACAACAGGCACCATTATACAATGTTTTCTTTTGTAAAGTTTCTTTACAAAGCAAGAATGACACTCTCTATTGCTTATAATTCGCTGCAGTGCGTTACATGGTCTGTGTTTACATTGTGGTACAAAAAGTTTTCCATTTTGTACTGTACATGGTAATGTACACCTATGTTCTAATTGTTTTGATAGTATTTCAGTTTTTAGAGTCGGAATATATTTCAATATGGTATTACTGTAGGAATGTAGGTGTCTAATATTATGTTATGTTTTGAACTTAAGTTTACAAGTTTTGAAAAGAGTGTGTTTTGAAAAGGTGCAAATTCTTCTGTAGGTTCGTAGAGTTTTGGTGGTGTTTGTGTCTAAGAAAATAATTAATGTAAATTGAAAGATGAAGAGTTTAGCCCGCATAAACTGCTGTTGTGCTCACTGTGAAGAGATTTAAAAAAATGACCCAAGTATCAAGAAATGTGTCCTAGCGATTGAAATAAAAAAGGCCACATTTTTGCCTTACCAGATATCAATAATTAAATTCTATCCTGGTGGTAACTGACCGTATAGTGATCATGTATCCAGGAGTAGTGCCCAGAGAGCTAATGAAGGAGCTGAGGACAGTTACAGCCATGTAAGAGGTGAAACTCCGGGTACATACTGGCCCACGGGGACACTGGCCCAGAGACACAGATCTGCTGCCCTCTACTGGTGAGGGGGTTAAGACACAGCTGCAGTTCTGGAAAACCTGTGATAAACAAACATAAACGAGAAGAAAAAAATACCACGTTTGTTCAAATTACAGTCTGTAAACAAAGGCTTGCAATACTCATTGGGTGCCTTGGATTTAGAAAAGAGTTTAAAGGGGTGGTTGATTATGATTTCACTTTTCTAACTTAAGTTAGTGTGTAATGTTGCTGTTTGAGCATAAACAACATCTGCAAAGTTACAACGCTCAAAGTTTAAAGCAAAGGGAGATGTTTTCTTTGAAAGAAATTACTTTTTAAGGACTACAACAAACGGCTGGTAGGGACTACGACATTCCTCCCGGGTTAGTGACATCACCAACCCTAAAATTTACATAAACCCCGCCCCCTGAACGTTATAGATGTATGGATTATCAAGACAGAATATGCTAATCAATGACTAGAAGATAACTATACATAAGCTACATAAATTCATCAACTAACCATTCAGAAATGTTGTCTACATGTTGTCACTTCTTCTTGAGTCTCTCCATCTTTGTCTGACTCCAGTTTGAACATAAAAGGCTAAAAGTTTTTGACATTTTCAGTGCACGTCTGTGTGAGGTAAAAGGACACAAGCTGTTGTAGCTCCGCCCTCTGTGCCGTGAGCAGCAGCTCATTTGCATTTAAAGGGACAGACACAAAAACTGTGCGTTTTTGTTCACCCTCAAAAAGTGAACATTTTAACATGCTACTGGTCCTTCTCAAAAAATGATAAAGTTCATTATTTTCCATAATGTAATGACAAAAATTAAACTTTCATATATTTTAGATTCATTGCACACCAACCAAAATTGAATTGAATTCCTAATTCAAAAAATGAGCATATCATTAAAAGGGTCTCTAAATGAGCTATTAACCTAATCATCTGAATCAACTAATTAACTCTAAACACCTGCAAAAGTTTCCTGAGGCTTTTAAAAACTCCCAGCCTGTTTCATTACTCAAAACCGCAATCATGGGTAAGACTGCCGACCTGACTGCTGTCCAGAAGGCCATCATTGACACCCTCAAGCAAGAGGGTAAGACACAGAAAGAAATTTCTGAACAAATAGGCTGTTCCCAGAGTGCTGTATCAAGGCACCTCATGTCACGGAATGGGTAATACAAAAAGGTGTGAGGACTCAAGTGCAGGAGAAAATAACTTTAATTATAAAATAAACAAACACAAACCAAACCCTCTAGGGGGGGAAAACACAATGAATAAACAAAACCACAACAGAACCTGAACAGAGGATCACGGGGAACGGGAGACATTAGACAACGATCCGACAAGGACTGTAAACAAGAGGAGACTTAACCCTTTAAGCGCCAGAGGTTTTTTCCTAAAACGTTCGTTCAATTTGATATCTTAATTTCAAAAGGCGATATCTTAAAAGTGATAAAAGATAGAGACTTTCTGTAAATTAGAGAAATATTAAGGATGACCCAAAGTTTATGTAGGGATTAAATTTTCCCATCTAATTTGCATATTATGACGTTGTCACGGGTTATGGTGCAGGATGAAGGAGAGGCTGAGACAAGGCTCAAATTCCAACATTTACTAAGATTTCCAAAACAGCAAACAGGTACAGGCAGGTTGACAGGCAAAAGGTAAATTCTCACATTAACACGTAACATATACACGTAACATGTTCAACGACCGACAAGGACAGACTGAACAGAAGCAAACTTAATACAAGCATGAATCAGACATAACAAGGTGAAAACAGGTGACACTGATGATGATAACGAGGGACAGGCTGGTAAGTGAGGGAGTGAATACAGGTGTGGAGACAAGAAGGATTCTGGGAAGTGTAGTGAAGATGACTAAGACAGACCGGTGCAGACGAAGACTGTGACAGAATGCCCCCCTTCAACAAGGCCCGGCTATGCTGGATGGAACCAGCGGTGAAGGCTCAGAAGGGCTGGACGGGACCAGCGGAGAAGGCTCTGGCTCGGCAGGCGTGCAGGTAAGCTCAGGCTCGGCAGGCGTGCAGGGAAGCTCAGGCTCGGCAGGCGTGCAGGGAAGCTCAGGCTCGGCAGGCGTGCAGGGAAGCTCAGGCTCGGCAGGCGTGCAGGGAAGCTCAGGCTCGGCAGGCGTGCAGGGAAGCTCAGGCTTGGCAGGCGTGCAGGGAAGCTCAGGCTCGGCAGGCGTGCAGGGAAGCTCAGGCTCGGCAGGCGTGCAGGGAAGCTCAGGCTCGGCAGGCGTGCAGGGAAGCTCAGGCTCGGCAGGCGTGCAGGGAAGCTCAGGCTCGGCAGGCGTGCAGGGAAGCTCAGGCTCGGCAGGGCTGCAGGGAAGCTCAGGCTCGGCAGGGCAGCAGGGAAGCTCAGGCTCGGCAGGCGTGCAGGTGACGTGAAGCTGCGGTGCAGGCCTGGCTGGGCTGGACAGAACCAGTGGTGCAGGCTGCTCTGGGCTGGACAGAACCAGCGGAGAAGGCTTGGCTGGGCTGGACGGAACCAGTGGTGCAGGCTTGGCTGGGCTGGACAGGACCAGTGGCGAACAGGGCTCTGAGCTGGACAGGACCAGCGGCGAAGAGGACTTTGAGCTGGACAGGACCAGCGGCGAAGACGGCTCTGGGCTGGACAGAACCAGCAGCGAAGAGGGCTCGGGAGGATGAGACTCAGATTGGACGGTCTCGGCGGGACGAGACTCAGGCTGGACGGTGTCGGCGGGACGAGACGTAGGCTGGACGGTCTCGGCGGGACGAGACTCAGGCTGGACGGTCTCGGCGGGACGAGACTCAGGCTGGACGGTCTCGGCGGGACGAGACTGAGGCTGGACGGTCTCGGCGAGACGTGACTCAGGCTGGACGGTCTCAGGCTGGATGGTCTCGGGGAGACTAGACTCAGGCTGGACGGTCTCGGCGGGACGAGACTCAGGCTGGACGGTCTCAGGCTGGATGGGCATGACACTTAATGTCTCAGACGCGGCGGGCATGACGCATACTGCCTTGGGCTCGGCAGATCTGGCGTGAAGTGCGGGCTCGGCTGAACTGGCGTTAAGTGCAGGCTTCCTGAGAACGAGGATCAGACGAGGTCGCCTACTCGGCTGGAGATTCCCCAGAAGAGTTGCGGGGTTCATGTTGTTTAGGTCGGTCGTTCTGTCACGGGTTATGGTGCAGGATGAAGGAGAGGCTGAGACAAGGCTCAAATTCCAACATTTACTAAGATTTCCAAAACAACAAACAGGTACAGGCAGGTTGACAGGCAAAAGGTAAATTCTCACATTAACACGTAACATGTTCAACGACCGACAAGGACAGACTGAACAGAAGCAAACTAAATACAAGCATGAATCAGACATAACAAGGTGAAAACAGGTGACACTGATGATGATAACGAGGGACAGGCTGGTAAGTGAGGGAGTGAATACAGGTGTGGAGACAAGAAGGATTCTGGGAAGTGTAGTGAAGATGACTAAGACAGACCGGTGCAGACGAAGACTGTGACAGACGTCATATGGTGGCGGCAATCTTGGATTATAGAATTTTCATGAAAAGTCACATGTTTAAATGATAAAATGCAGCACTTCTTTCCCCCCAAAATATCCATCACCTTCTGTATGCTATATTGCACAATTCTGAATACTCAGGTATATAGTAAGTAGTAAACAAACTGTGTAAATCATTACCAATAAATGGTAGAAACAAACCGAATGCATGTAGTGGTTGGCCTTTTGCTGTAGAGATTTTCCATTTACTAAATACAGTGGGCACTCTGATTCCATGTATGGGGCACATATATATTATTCATATGACATAAAAACACAAGTAGACAAGACCTGTTTAGTTCAAACGCTCACTCGCCACCGCAAGGCACAGATCATGAGTGAGATGATACGAGCAGCGCGGCCAGATCTGCCTCGTGTGCGCGCCGAGTGTGCACAGCTCGGACTACTGTCATTGTCATTGTGACTCCTCACCCTGCCTCCACGTTGCCTCCTTACTGTCCTATGAATACTTCGACCTCGTCTAACATACCCAGTGGTATTAGACAAAGTCTCCACCTGGCTCACTCGTCTCGCACACTAGCTCCGCTTTTGATCGCAGATTCAATGCGCTCTTACTCGAACATTTTGTATAGAAACATGACGTTTTTTTTATTCGGGGATGAAGTATGACATGTCTGCCATCCAGTGGAGGGGAGGTCGAACGAAATTTGACACCCAATTTGACAAAATCGACCATTTTATTCAGTGCCGCATCTTGTCGAGTAAACTCGACCGTGGCGCCTAGAGGGTTAAGAAGGGAACAAATCAAGAGGGAACAGGTGGGAGAACTCAAACAATAATCAGGTAACGAGGGGGATGGATCAGACAATGACAAGAGCACATGGCTCAACATAACAAACACCCATGTGCATCACAAGACAGGACAGACATGTGACATAACCCCCTCACTACGGAGCGGCTACCAGACGCTCCATCAGACCAGGGCGGGACAGGAGGGACAGGTCAGGGGGGGAGGACAGGAGGGACGGACCAGGGCGAAATACAGAGTCCAACGGGCGGCCAGGGTGAAACACATCCATCGGGCGGCCAGGGCGGTGAAGACCCCTCGGGCGGCCAGGGCGGTGCAGACCCCTCGGGCGGCCAGGGCGGTGCAGACCCCTCGGGCGGCCAGGGCGGTGCAGACCCCTCGGGCGGCCAGGGCGGAGCAGACTCCTCGGGCGGCCAGGGCGGAGCAGACCCCTCGGGCGTCCAGGGCGGTGAAGACCCCTCGGGCGGCCAAGGCGGTGATGCACCGGCTCAGGAACAGACACCAGCTCAGGAACAGCCATAAGAACTGTAACATCCACAAGAACAAACACAGGAACAAACACTGGCTCTGGAACTGGAACAGATTCCGGCTCTGGAACAGCCATTGGCTCTGCCTCCGGCACTGGAACAGACTCCGGCTCTGGAACAGGCATTGGCTCTGCCTCCGGCTCTGGAACCGGCATTGGCTCTGCCTCCGGCTCTGGAACAGGCACTGGCTCTGCCTCCGGCTCTGGAACAAGCACTGGCTCTGGAACAGGCACTGGCTCTGCCTCCGGCTCTGGAGCAGCAGCCACCGGCTCAGGAACTGCAAACACCGGCTCAGGTACAGTCCCTGGAACAGAAATGGTCACAAGGACAGACACAAACACAGAAACAAACACTGGGTCTGGAACAGACATTGGCTCCAGCTCTGGAACAGGCACTGGCTCTGCCTCCGGCTCTGGAACAGGCACTGGCTCTGCCTCCGGCTCTGGAACAGGCACTGGCTCTGCCTCCGGCTCGGGAACAGCGGACACTGGCTCCGGCTCGGGAACAGCAGACACTGGCTCCGGCTCAGGAACAGCAGACACTGGCTCCGGCTCTGGCTCCGGCTCAGGAACAGCAGACACTGGCTCCGGCTCAGGAACAGCAGACACTGGCTCCGGCTCAGGAACAGCAGACACTGGCTCCGGCTCAGGAACAGCAGACACTGGCTCCGGCTCAGGAACAGCAGACACTGGCTCCGGCTCAGGAACAGCAGACACTGGCTCCGGCGCAGGAACAGCAGCCACTGGCTCTGCCTTCGGCCCCGGAGCATCCACCGGCATGTCCAGGATCCGAGCCAGACGCTCCAGATAGTCCAGCACAGCCTTGGCGGCCACACAAATGGGCATCTCCTGATCTGTCTCAGACTGGGCAGACGGGACCTGCACAGTTTCTGACTGGGCAGACGTGACATGAAAAGTCTCTTGCTGGGCAGACGAAACGTGAACAGTCTCTGGCTGGGCAGACGTGACGTGAACAGTCTCTGGCGGGGCAGACGTGACGTGAACAGTCTCTGACTGGGCAGACGTGACGTGAACAGTCTCTGGCTGGGCAGACGTGACGTGAACCATCTCTGGCTTGGCCCCTCTTCTCCGCTGAGTCCTCATGTTGGTCGGATCGTTATGTCACGGAATGGGTAATACAAAAAGGTGTGAGGACTCAAGTGCAGGAGAAAATAACTTTAATTATAAAATAAACAAACACAAACCAAAACCCTCTAGGGGGGAAAAACACAATGAATAAACATAAAACCACAACAGAACCTGAACAGAGGATCACGGGGAACGGGAGACATTAGACAACGATCCGACAAGGACTGCAAACAAGAGGAGACTTAAGAAGGGAACAAATCAAGAGGGAACAGGTGGAAGAACTCAAACAATAATCAGGTAACGAGGGGGAGGGATCAGACAATGACAAGAGCACATGGCTAAACATAACAAACACCCATGTGCATCACAAGACAGGACAGACATGTGACACCTCAGTGGGAAGTCTGTGGGAAGGAAAAAGTGTGGCAAAAAACGCTGCACAATGAGAAGAGGTGACCGGACCCTGAGGCAGATTGTGGAGAAGGAACAATTTCAGACCTTGGGGGACCTGCGGAAGCAGTGGACTGAGTCTGGAGTAGAAACATCCAGAGCCACCGTGCACAGGCGTGTGCAGGAAATGGGCTACAGGTGCCGCATTCCCCAGGTCAAGCCACTTTTGAACCAGAAACAGCGGCAGAAGCGCCTGACCTGCTACAGAGAAGCAGCACTGGACTGTTGCTCAGTGGTCCAAAGTACTTTTTTCGGATGCAAGCAAATTTTGCATGTCATTCGGAAATCAAGGTGCCAGAGTCTGGAGGAAGACTGGGGAGAAGGAAATGCCAAAATGCCTGAAGTCCAGTGTCAAGTACCCACAGTCAGTGATGGTCTGGGGTGCCATGTCAGCTGGTGGTGTTGGCCCACTGTGTTTTATCAAGGGCAGGGTCAATGCAGCTAGCTATCAGGAGATTTTGGAGCACTTCATGCTTACATCTGCTGAAAAGATTTATGGAGATGAAGATTTAATTTTTCAGCAATACCTGGCACCTGCTCACAGTGCCAAAACCACTGGTAAATGGTTTACTGACTATGGTATTACTGTGCTCAATTGGCCTGCCAGCTCTCCTGACCTGAACCCCATAGAGAATCTGTGGGATATTGTGAAGAGTAAGTTGAGAGACGCAAGACCTAACACTCTGGATGAGCTTAAGGCCGCTATCAAAGCATCCTGGGCCTCCATAACACCTCAGCAGTGCCACAGGCTGATTGCCTCCATGCCACGCCGCATTGAAGCAGTCATTTCTGCAAAAGAATTCCCGATAAATAAGTATTGAGTGCATAACTGAACATAATTATTTGAAGGTTGACTTTTTTTGTATTAAAAACACTTATTTTATTGGTCGGATGAAATATGCTACTTTTTTGAGATAGGAATTTTGGGTTTTCATGAGCTGTATGCCAAAATCATCAGTATTAAAATAATAAAAGACCTGAAATATTTCAGTTGGTGTGCAATGAATCTAAAATATATGAAAGTTTATTTTTTATCATTACATTATGGAAAATAATTAACTTTATCACAATATGCTATTTTTTCGAGAAGGACCTGTATATAAAAATATCTGTGGGGTGTGTTGAGCTAAACTCTCAAATACACACTCTGGGGACATCAAATACTTTACACCTTGTGAAAAGGGCATTATACCACCCCTTTAAGAAAACAAGTTTTAGATAGATCCAATTATACTAGAGATACCGTGTTTTTGCCTTGTCCAGTGGAGGCGGTGCATCCGGCCAAACAGGGCGACACGTATGTAATGCCACTGTCAGAGCACACAGGATCCCATTCAGACGTTGAGCAGGAACAGTTCTGGTTACACTGAGACACGAGGGAGCGCTCATCAGAAGATGTATCAGGAGTCCTAGGGAGGAATTCTGAGATTGGTGATTGTTTCCAGTTTTGAAACACAGTATATACTCCGGCTGAGAGCCAATGTTCACTTATAACAGTGGTTCTCAATTGTGTTTTCAACCCATTGGCTGCATTCGAAATCGCTAAAAACAGTATGTGACAAAATAAGTATGTCCGAATTCTCTAACTCTTAAAGAAAAAGTACCTGGATTACCTACTACTTCCGGCGAGATTCCGAAGTGCGCATACGATGGACACTTTACTATCCCATGAGGCCACGGTAGATGATTTATGAATGGCAGTGAAGCGACACAACTGATGCTGGTAGGTTATGATAATGAAAACATGATGAATGTAGAATGTCCATATTACATTCATACTACACAGATTGATACTATAGAACATACTTTTTTGTGGTCGTGAAGTAATTGATTATTTAAAATAAGTACCTACTCAAGAGAGTATGCGATTTTGTTTCATCTATTGTCAAATATTTGAACGAGAGGAAGTGAATTAGATTTGAGAGTGTATTCCTCCACACATTTTGAGAACCACTGACTTACAGAGGTATACAAACATTTTACCCATTGTAGGACACAGTGAGCCCCGCCACAGGCAAATTGTCACACTTTGTGCCGAAATGGAGGAGGAGGAGAAGGAAGGCAGAGAAGGAGGTGATGAAGGAGAGCTGAGCCCCTGCCACAACGCTCAACTTGTATCTTTTCATTAACAAACCACCCAAAAATATTCCCACGGCAACCACAGGCAGGATCAGGACACCTGCGGGACATGACATGTCTTTAGTTTCAATTAATGTCAAGCCTGACAATCTCTGTGTGGGTTATGCTGTATGCTTGGGTTTCTTGGGTTCACATGAATTTGCACCAAAATACTGTAACTGAATTTGACAAAAGATATGAGAAGTCGAAAAAATTATTAAAAGTTTTACTTCAAATTACATGTTAAATCATGTTATAATAATCTTTTGTCATGCTTTAAGGAAGTACACTATGTGGATGTGTTGACAAACATATTAAAGCACATGTAAAGTACTTGATTTTTACTGTGGTGTGTTATATTCAATAGTGTATATTTAAAGTTAATTTATTTTAAAATGTACTAAACTGCAAGTTTATCATTACAAATGGGTAATTACAAATATATTTAAACTCATGACGTACACAAGTTTCATAAGAAATAGCTATTAGTCTACCATAAATGCTTGCCAGTACATTTGACAGTACTTTTCAAAGACAACAGAAGTAATTTACATTTACATTTATCTGACCCTTTTATCCAAAGCGACTTACAATTGCTATATTTGTCAGAGGTCGCACACCTCTGGAGCAACTAGGGGTTAAGTGTCTTGCTCAGGGACACATTGGTGTCTCACAGTGGATTCGAACCCGGGTCTCTCACACCAAAGGCATGTGTCTTATCCACTGCACCATCACCACCCGCCATGACCATGTAATTATGAAATTACATACGGAGATGTACTCAAGTCCTACTAAAGTGGGTCAAAAAACATTCTAAAGTTCAGCTAATTGTATTTAATATCAATTAAATGAATGTAAATTGATTTCCAATTAACATTCAATTAATTGTTAAAAAACATTACATTCAGTTAAAAACTTACAGGGATAGTTCACTTTGGAATTAATTTTTGGTATGTTTTAGCTTACCTCAAGGGTATCCAAGATGTAGGTGTCTTTGTTTCCGCAGTATTGATATTTTTAGGTCAAACCGTTCTTGTCTGTTAGTCATATAATGCAGGTCTATGGTAACTTCCTCAAAGAGCATGCACAGAGAAGTCCAAATTAAACATGATTTAATGACTCGTAAATGTAAGTACACATTGATGGCCTGAGACACGAAACGAGCAGTTTGTGTGAGAAAACGAACAGTATTTCTATCGTTTTTACCTCTTGTAAACACAGCCACGTCCAAGTGATCTCTCGCGCGTGTACGTCACTCATACAATTGTTTTATTTGTTTTAATTGTTTTCTTTTACGACGGTTTAAACATCCCGGATAAGCGCAAATTAGTACCATTTTAATTAGCCGTCTTACCTACAATCTCTGTTCTGTGTAAAAAATGAGTGACGTACACGCGTGCGAGATCACTTCCGGCGCTTTCCGGAAAAGACCGAAGCACCGGCGCCCTCAGATCACTTGGACTTGGCTGTGTTTACAAGAGGTAAAAACGATATAAATACTGTTCATTTTCTCACACAAACCGCTCGTTTCGTATCTTAGGCCATCAATGTGTACTTACATTTACGAGTCATTAAATCATGTTTAATTTGGACTTCTCTGTGCATGCTCTTTGAGGGGGAGACCATAGACCTGCATTATATCACTGACAGACAAGAACGGTTTGACCTAAAATTATCAAAATTGAAACTACTGCGGAAACAAAGACACCTACATCTTGGATGCCCTTGAGGTAAGCTAAAACATACCAAAAATTAATTTCAAAGTGAACTATCCGTTTAATATATATTTTTATACGTTATAAGTACTCTTTTATAAAAGTATGCTAAAGTGAACTTATTTCAAAATGAATGAAATATAAAATATATACTGTACATAAAATTCCATATAAACTGGAATAACATTGAGAAAAATAACAATAAAAGTTTGCATGTACAATAGTACAATAGTAAAAAGTCAGATTTGCCACTAAACACTAGTATTTTATGCATTTGGTTGTTCTGCCTAAAAAAAGCTATTTGCAGTATTATTATTATTATTTTATTTTGGTATATCATTTATGTATTGTTAAATCTAAATCTACATTTTAAATCTAAATCTAAAAATCACACATCTTAAATTTATATTTGGAATTCAAAATGGTTGGGTTTGTTCATAACCCCAATTAGGCACCAGACACTGAACAAAACGATCAACGGCCTGGACATTTATGAAAAGACTTCTTACCAATAAGGAAGTTTGCTCTGGACGCAGACTGGCCAAACTGTTGCTCCATGTATTTGGCTTTGAAGGTGAGCAGTCCAATGAAAGAGTTGAACTTCAAAACAGTCCCACACAGCAACAGGAAGTACGCGGGAGTGCACAGTAGTCTTTTCAGGGAAGGCAAGAATCCTTAACATTTACAAACAGAACACAGAGAGTGAGATTTGCATAGATGTTAGCTTAACTTCAGCTAATCATCTTTAAGACATGTTTAAAAGGTGCCCGTCTTACAAATTAGAGTGACTCCTGGTGAAGTACTGCTATTTGTAACATGAATTTGTTCGTTTTAAAGAGAGGAGGGAAAAGGAATAGAAAAACAAATAGTTCAAACAATGCTGCATTTAGTAAAATGGTGGAATGAAGTTGCCTTTTGCAATGTCGGACAGGTTCAATGAGTTTGTGGTTGGGAGGACAGGTTGCTCTTTGTTTCCCTGATCCATGGTAGAGTTTTCCTTCCCTTCCTCTCCTTGTTTGGTTAAAGACCTGGGTAGGAACCAAAAGGGAACACCAGCAAGTAGTAAGATGGCAGATGACACGAAGAAGCCCAGCCACCAAGCGCCGACCCAGCGCGCATCCTGTGGAGTAATGGTCACACTGTCTGCAGGAGAATGAGGGAATATATAAACATAAACTGTATAGAAATACTGTATATACAGTACATGTGAAAATGTAACAGCTCTGAATCAAACGGACTAATGATCAGATGAAAAACAATCAATCAAATGAATTAATCGGGTTACAAATAGCATGGTCTCACTTTATATTTGGTGTCCTTAACCCTAATTACGCACTTATTTTACACTGAGACATTTTATACAATGAACTTACTGAGCACACACATATTGTTCTGGTAAGAGATGGTTTAGGGATGATGTACGGACAAATATGTAATTACAAGTATGTAATTATATTGTAACTACAATGTAACAACATCCACAACAGAATAAAATTATAAAAATTTTAAGTACATAGTTCAAGTCTCATAATATAAAGCAGGTCCAATAGCAATAGCAATAGTGTGTGTGTGTGTGTGTGTGTGTGTGTGTCTGTGTGTTTCAAACACAAATGAAACTTCATGAACACACACAGCACTGGTGACACTAATTAAACTGGATGCTTACCAACACTGACAAATCCAATATCCACATACAGTCTGGCACACATGGAGCCCAGTATGAATCCAAACATGGGACCCAGCAGCATAATGGTCTGAAGACATGCTAAACATCAAAACAGAGTTTTTAACTAAACATTTCCAGAAAAAAAAGAAAATTTGCTCTTCCCTCGTGAAAAAGAAGTATACTTTAGCATACTTTATACTTGAGCAGAATATACTAAAGTGTGAAGTAAATGTAATGTTTTCGGACACTTAATTGCATGTTAATTGCACTTAAATGTATTATAGTAAAAATGTATAATAAATGCAGTTAGCTGAACTACATGTAATTTCATAATTTGACTTTTAAATATGGTTACATTTATGGAAAAGTGTACTTCTTTACAGCACAACAAAATATTAAAACATTTTTTTAATTTACTTTAAAGTTAAACTTTCAATTTTACATTATTGCATTTAAGTGTGTTGATAAAAGTGTACTCTCTTTATGCACACTAACGGAACGTGGCCTTTTTATTTCAGTGCAGTTTTTGTATAAATATACTTAAATATTTGAAGTACACTACAAGTGCACATTCAATACAATTAGGCACTATTATTTTCCCCGAGGGTTTAAAAGCTCACAAACACAAAAAAATTTAAGCGGGTAACATAATGCAGATATCGTTTTTTGTTGTGTTAATGTAATTTATACTTCTATGCTGTAACACAATAGAGTTTCTGACCTCTAGTAAAAATAATAATAAATAAAATCTCCAAATTTTACTTACAAATGTAAAATGCTGAGTTTTCTGCTTTTGCAAAGTCATCAATATAAGATATGCCGAGCGGTGTGACTGGAGTCTCTCCGATTCCTCTGAGCGCATTACCCAATAACACATAGATCCACATACTAGATCCAGGGTCCTTCACGCAGTCTAAGGTTAAAGTGGTAGAAATCAGAAATCAAGTACTTCGAACTTTCAGAAGAATTTTATATGTTGACTTTTTTTTTTTTGAAGAAAATGTGGTAAGCTGTTTAACAATTGTTCAAATCCTGAAACCTAAGACGGGTTATTATTTCTTTGAATGCTTGATTCTGATTGGTTGATGAATGTTCTAAGGTGTGCATTCATTTAGCTAAAGTAGTTCCAGGCAGGTATGATTGTATTACAGTTCCAAATCACTTCTCCAAGGTCCTTACAGCCTACGAAAGCAAATTAACTTGCGGAATACTGTTAGCGAACATCCCGATGTCGTTCACGCTGCTGGAAGTAGCGTTTAGATGAATATGTAAATACTGTGCGCTTTCCTCTCAACAAAGAAATAAGTACACAACAAAATAACAGCGGTGAGAAAACAGCAGTTTAGAAAGAAAGTGTCTCATCATAGATATGTTTGCACAATCTCATCTGGTACTCCAGTCAAGTCATGTCTCTTGACTCTCACTTCGCTTTGGAAAGCTGTTTCAGACTCCTGAAACGAACCCCAAACTACTTTCATTTTATGTTCGAAATGATGTCACACTAGTTCACTTAAAGTATATCAGGGTCTATATCAGGCTATGGGGTAAATGTAAAGCAGTTACCTGTTCCAGTGGTATTAGAAGGCTTGATGTGTGTATTTGAATAATTGTTTGGAACCGTGGGATACTGACAAGGAGATATACTGACAGTCTTGTTTAAAGAGCCTTGCATTACAGAGTCATACTTGTACCTGTAGGAGTATAACCGACAGGGAGAAAGAAAGAAACATGAGAAACTTTATAAGGAATGATAAACTAAGCTAACTGTGTTTAGAATTAATATGCATGTATGAATGAATTTACCGCCCCATGAAAAAGTGTGGCAGTCCAGTGAGAGCTGAGCCAATGGCCATGAGGAAACAGCCCATTCCTATGAGCCGTGGCCTGTGCAGTCTCGCTCCAAAATGACTAACCGCTGCCAGAAAGAGCAGGTTACCTGCAGAAGAGCATCCAGAGAACAACCGGTGAATCCAGAAAATAAATAACACTTATTTTAGCATGATATGGACAATCCACGGTCCATTCACTGATCATTGTATTTTGCAACCCAGGCTCATTGAAAAAAGTGCCTGTGACAACATTACTGCAAAAATGACACTATGTTGCTTCTTGCACATTTTGTGACAATTTTATAGCGAAATGCCCAGAGCGTGGCGCTTAAATCATGTTCAGTTTTATCTGATTTTTTAGCCATTGTGGGATCCTTATACAAACCCATTTCAAAACTTCCATCAACGAGGCCCACGGCAGAGCTGGAAAGGTCAAATCTCCTCTCAATCTGAGTGATAGCGCTTTTCATGTAGGTCCCACACAGAGTTTTGGAGAAGTAGGCGAAGGAGAGGGCCACAATGAAAATCTTGAAGAAAAGTTACAATGGAAAGAGAACTGATTTATCAGACTTGTGATAAATACTGTCGACAGTAATCAAATTATCTTTATTTACATTAAGACTGATTCAAATGACCACATACAGAATAAATTTTTTTTTACACCCACACTCAGTAAAGTACAAGTACCTTTAGACTCGAGCAGCAGGGGTCTTTTGGGGCCTCTTTTTCTGGAATGCGAAGGTCTTTTTGGCTGGTCGGCTTTCCATTGTCCTCTGCAGTAGGCTCAGACATTTTGCTGTAATGATATATTATCAAACAATTATATTTTAGTATTTTCGGTCAAGCTTCACCTCATTAGATTGTTTTCTGACTTTTCTGCATTTCAGTTAATTTATGAATTAAGTTTAAATGTATGCTTATTGTAACTTTCCCTTATTTCTCTGAGTTTAACGGTTGCTTTATAAATCCTTATCCCAATATTCACATGGTAAATCCACAAGATCACAGCCAGGTACATACAACCGCACATTGACATTCTCCTTGACGTACATTCACGTGTATAGACGTGTGAACTGAACACACACAGTAGTCCATTACAGATTTGCGCAAAACTTTTGAGATATTTTCCAAATGTAGATAAAAAACTATTGCAAAATGACAGCGTTTCCATTAACCGATGTTATGCAACTAAAACGTAATTTTTTCCTCTCGTGATAAGTCATTCAAAAAAATCATGACAACGGATGTTGGTAGTTTTATGTAAATCCCAGCCACCGCACTAGCCATTATTTTTAATTGAAGGAGACGTAGGTGTGTTATCCAAGCTTTAATGGCAAGGATAGACCTTTATACTTGGGAGCGGCACAGCACAAATGAGGTGTTTCTTCCTCCTCCTTTGCTTTAAGGTCTTGATCATTTGTGACATTTCTCAAGAGATCATTTGAGAATTGCCTGAAAATTGCCACCTCATGCGAGCCTAAAAACTTTTTTGCAATATGTAGGATTTTTTGCGAAATTGTTTCCATTGGGCTTATTTTCATTTCACAATTTCAATTTACAACAATTTGAAGGGTAATTGAAACGCAGCTAATGATTAAACACATAAATAAAGAATCAAATAGTAACTATGGTGACATCTAGTGATGGGAAATGGTGCAAACAGACCAAACAGTGTGATATTGTGACATTACGCCCCCCTCCCGGAAAGGCGTGACCTTGAGCAGATGAATGGAGGAGGTTTCTGTGTAGGACGGGAATCTGGGTGAGGGATGGAATGAAAGGAGGTCCAGGGTGGTGCCGATGGTGGTGTAATCAAGGGGATGGCCTTGAGCATGAATGGCGCTCCAGGCTACAGCCAGGACGGCATCCCACAGTTTCTTCACTGGAGGAGCTATGGTGGTGAAGGTCTCCACGCCACCCTGGGGATGAGCGGAGGTGACAGAGTCAATAGAGGTGGACAGACAGAAAGCCGAAGGAGTGGAGTGACAGTGAAGGTCCCTGAGTCCATGACGAGCTGCAGAGACGACCCCCCGGGATGGAAACAAGGTACCAGAGGGCTGAGATGGAACTGGAATGACTGAGGGCTGAGGCATAGCTTGAGGGAGGGGGGAGCCAAACAGAGCCGTAGGGGTGGAGGGACTGAGAAAACATCTCCCCGGCTCCGGGGGGATGTTTAGCTCAGCCATTCCTTTAATCGCTGGCTTCTGCATAGCAGTCGAGGCAAGCTCTCTATCTGCAGTGGGCTCATGCTGCCGCTCCTTGCCATCCGGTGGCTCCTGGTTGGGCACTGGGAGTGGGGCTGGTGTCATCGTCATAGGGTTCGACAGTGAAAGGCGATCCACATGACGCCAGCTCCCACTCCGCACAGTGGCAGCTGTGGCCTAATGTTTAGAGAATCGGATTGTAACCTGAAAGTCGCGGGTTCGCGTCACAGTACTGGAAGGTAGGAGGGGGGAGTGAATGAACAGCGCACTCTTCCACTCTCATTATAACACAGTCTCATCCCAAGACGTCATCTGTCTGACGCTTTTGACCATACGTCAACATCCGACGTTTTAGGGTACCCTTTAACGTCAGTTAGATGACGCGGGTAGGTTTAGGTCTGGGGTAGGGTTAGGATTAGATAGCGTCATCTAACTGACGTTAAAGGGTACCCTAAAACGTCGGATTTTGACGTATGGTCAAAAGCGTCAGACAAATGACGTCTTAGGATGAGACTGGGCTGCTCATTACCCTCAAATAAGGTGCCCTTAAGCAAGAAACCTAACCACCAATCGCTCCTCGGGCGCTGTAGCAATAATGGCTGCCCACTGCTCCGGGTGTGTTTTCAAGGTGTGTTTTCAATACTCACTGCTGTGTGTGTGCACTTGGATGGGTGAAATGCACAAATTCCAAGTGGCTAAACATCACGTCACTTTCATTTTCACTTTTTCTGGAAGTCCTTCCCTGGACAACTGTGCCTTTGTCGATGAAAGAAGTTGTACAAGAAGAATGAACAAAGGCAGTTGTCCGGGAAGCTTGACTGATGTGCTAGGTCGAGGAATTCTGTCACATGTGCCTCGAGGGAGTGATTTCTGCTCAAGGCCTAATAACAGGAACGAGGGAGAGTCGATGGTGACGGGAAAAATAAACAGGAAAACACTGACACAAAACAAAACAAAAACACACCGCAATCTCTTTATTAACACTTTTGGGTCCAGTCTTCTTTCACGGCTGTTCTGCAGACAAAGGCCTGAAGACGAAGATGAAATTTTCAAACGGTATTTAATAATATCCACCGGGTAAATCCACGAGATTACAAGAAGGTACACACAACCGCATGTCGACGTTCTGCTGGCGCACATTTACGTGTTTAGACGAGACTGGACAAATGTGAACTGAAGACACAGGGATTAAGTACACAGACAAATGAGGTGATTACAGGTGACACAGCTGATTGTGATAATGAATCAAATAACTATATTGACATCTAGTGACGGGAAACGGTTCAAACTGAGTCCATATGGTGAAATTGTGACAGACATGTTTTTGGCAGTCTGGTGAGATATTTATAAATGGACACTGTTAGTAGTAGAGATGCACTAATTGTATGTGCCAATGCTGATTACTGTGCAAATATCAAACAACATCTGCTGATACTGATAGTTTCTGCTTTATACATCACTGAGAATTAATCACCCAACATCAAAAAAAAAAAATATATATATATATATTTTAAAACAAAATTACATTTACAGTACTTACCATTTAATTTTAATTAGAAAATGTAATAAACAAATCACAACTCTGCTATCATTTTTCCAGAGAAATTTTATTCAGCATGAGTTTGTTACTTTATTATTGATGGATTTTTTTCTGCCCCCTATTGGGGATAATTGGCCCTGCTCTTTAAAATAATTGGCCAATGCCTAATTTTTGGCCTATACTATATGATTGGACGATACATAAGTGCATTTCTAGCTAATACAGTGAGCAATTAAAGGCTTATTTTAAGAAAGAAATATGTAGGAGTTAAGATTCCGAGGAATTACTTACTAATTTCCTAAATTATTTGCATATTAATCTGAACATTTGATAAGATTCAAATACATAGTTACATAAAAACGAATTTTACATAAATGTACATAAAAAGGAATTCCTCTATAACAAGAAGCTTCTAGTCAAATCCAAGTTTAATGGCCAATGTCTCAAATGTCAAAACAGTTGAAACTTCATTCAAATTTAAAAGGAGTTAAAAAAATCATAACTCACCTTATATTTAAACTTTCAGAAAGACTGAAATATTCCAATCTTTGCAGCAGGCAAAGGCTAGCTTCTGTTCTATTGCCCCATCTTCAGAATAGTTGAAGGGGAAGACAAATACAAACAGTTTAAATACAAATACTACCACTATTACTACTATTACTACTTCTACTACTACTACTAATAATAATAAATATATAATAATAAAAAAAAAGAAACAAGGAAAAGCCAACCTCGTGAAACAGAGAAAGCCTTTTACTGTGTTTTTATGACTTACTCAGATAATCCTCTCAGAATTAGTTCGGTTTAAATCTCCCCTCCCAGTCAGAAACCCTTCAACAGCCATTCATCTAAGGCAGAGAAAATTAAAGTTAGGGGGTTCTGAGTAAACAAAGGGACCAAGAGAAACAAATCATGTGCCAAAGTGGCCAAAGTGTGCTGTACCTGACATGGGCACAGGGAATATCCTCCCTCTTGGAGAGAAGACGTGTTTCTGGGTCTCTGCATAAGCCTGTGGTTTATTCTCAAAGCTCATCCACACAAAAGCTCAGCACATTTCTATTCCAACAACGTGCCAGCTCAAGAGACCCCAACAGCTCAACACATGCTGCTAAAAGAGAGTGGTTTTGCTCCAAGAAAAACTCAGAACCTGATATTTTAAAGCCTTCATTCTCATAACATGCATATATTTATATTGTAAGTTATTTTATAGGGGACACCAGTGGAAGATTCATTTTAGTTTTTAGCTGCTTTAGATTTTCATCTGGATCAATTCAGGATTTGACATAAATTAAGATTCATTTTGTGTCTTCATTAAAAAGTTTTTAAGAATGGTTTAAACCAGCAGGTTGGCTAAACCCCACTGAGTGTGGTCAGGCCGTGGCCCTGCTGCAGTTGAGCTGGACTTGAGCCAGGGAAATGTGCTATTATATCGACTTCACATGCAAATTTCCTATTTCCCACTTCTGAAGTCGTGATTACGAGCTCGTCACATTCAGGAAAAGGAACCATGGAGGACACCAGATTAATTCTTGCCTAATTGGGAAAATCTTATTCAAAATTATATTTTGTGTCCCATTTATTGACAACCATAAACATTCATCAAGGTAGTCAGCTTGCTGACAATTCAGGAATTTCAGTCAAATGGCTATTTTTTTTTAAATGGCTAATGGTGTATAATACTAACAATACACTTCAAACAATTAATCATATGTATTGTAAATATGCACGACATTACGACAAGACATGATGTAGCGGTTGTGGAAAAACGAAGTAGGCTTATACCAGTCACAGCAGCAATCGCTTCCGCCATGTTTAAAGTTTGTGACCCTCCCATCTCGGTAACTTCAATCAAAATTATCCCCAAACTTCCCAGTGGTAAATAGAACTTGAGAGGGCGTTCAACTAGGAAACTCATATTTACAATAATTCTGATAGCGCATGAAGACAGCTTAAAACAACAGTAGCATCAGTGTTATTTTAATATCATTGAGATACTATTAGAGTCTTTATTAATATTTTGAATTTGTTAGTTATTTTAACACATCAAATTAAACCAAATTAAAGGTAATATTTTCAAGGTAAATTTAGGTGTCTTTAAAAAAAAGTACACTTTAATAACCAAATTAAATAAGGAGTCCATATAATTCATAAATGTATGCACACCAAAACACCCATAAAAACAAATTTCAGAAAAAAGACTTTTCAGAATTCACAGTGTATAGTATGTGTTAGGTTCAACAGCAAAGAGCTTGTTTACATTTTAGACAAGTCAAGTTGCAATACTGAGCAGAACCACATGGAGGTTTCTTGATGCCAAAACCCCTAAGCCGACCATCTTGATCTGACTGCACTACAATACACAGATCTATTCAGAATTACAGCAACAAACACAGGACAAATCATTATCCTGAATGTGTGTGGAAACAACGTAAATGTACTGAAATGTGCATAAATACAATGTGCAATCAGTACGTCGACAGCGCACATACACGGTTTGGTTCCGCATTTATATAATAACTCAAGCCTTGTTTATACTTTCGCCTGGCTCCGCACCACGAGTCTCCACTTACTGCGCGCACACCTCCCAAAACAGATGTTTATACTTGATGAGCTCACCGTTAAACTATTCTTTGAAACGACAGGGGGCGACTCTGAGTACTTGTCCTCTTAAACTATCAGGAAGTAGCGGTTAGAAGCAAGAGGGTAATCCATCGACCGGAAGTTGAAGCCAGCCGGGTGCCGCCATCTTGTAGCAGAACTTCACTTGCGTTAGCATTTCCATTGACTCCCATTCATTTTGGCGTCACTTTGACAGCGAATAACCTTACATCTGAGGCGTTTAAAGACTCCATTTGTCCATTATTTATTTCTAAAGAAACACGACAATGTATAAAGGGCTCCATTACCTCATGTTACATTATGGCCCCGTAGAAACAGTTTTTGTAAAAATAGGCTAACGATTGCGTCATAACCACTCGACTCTCTGTCGCGCTGTACAGAAATTACCGTACAGACAGGAGGAGAAGCTCGCAGGCAATCGGGGGGACGTCCTGTCAAGAGAGAAGCCCATAGATAATGAGTCCATAAAAGCAACGGAATACTTACTCCTGCTCACTCACGCCAAAGAACTCTTTGCTCAAGTTCCCCGTCTCTGCAAGATTAACGTTGGCAATTTTCACGCACAGCTACTAGAAGATTAACGTCTGTCAGACAGGTTGCTCACGTCATCAAGCTTAGTTTGAGTTGGTTTGAGTCTGCGCGTCAGGAACGGAAGTGCTCACAAATCGCTAAAAATGGGCTTCAACCAAGGGGGTGATCCATTAGCCGGAAGTTGAAGCCTCGCGGGAGCCGCCATTGTAGCAGACCATCACCTGCTGTTAGCATCCCATTGACTCCCATTCATTTTGGCGTCACTTTGACAGCGAATAACTTTACATCTGAGGCATCCAAAGACTTCATTTGTCCATTATTTATTTCTAAAGAAACACGACAATGTATAAAATGTTCCATTACTTTGTATCTTACGTTACGGCCCCGTAGAAGCCGTTTTTTATAAAAATAGGCTAAAGATTGCGTCATAACCACGGGACTTTCTGTCGCACAATAGAGACATTACCGTATAGACAGGAGGAGAAGCTCGCTGGCAATCTTTAACTGTCTATGAGGCAATCAGGGGGACATGGAGGCACAAAGTCAAGGTAGAAGCCAATAAATAGAGAGTCTATAAAAGCAATGGGACAAAATATTTCAACAACGTTTTTGAGGAATTAGGTGATTCAGATTTGGCTTGGCACAGCTACTAGAAGATTTTCAACTGCCAGACTGTCGTCACGCTCAGTTTGAGCCTGCGCAGTCGCTCAGACAACAGACAGGAAGTGCAATAATCGGGCTTCAGTCTTCTCCGTTGAAATCAATGGGATCGCTCTGTCCATTTCTTTTACTGTCTATGGCTTCAACTGTCTCAACTGAGTTCCAATGAGATGGCTCTGTCCACTTCTTATACTGTCTATGGTTTGAAGCAGTAAGGTACACAAGTGACAATGTTTGTTTTTATTACATCACCAAACCCACAAATGAACCAAATAATGGTGAAACCCTGTAAACCTTAAGATTATTACTTGTTACATTAGAACCAAATATATGGATATAAGAAAATATGTATAAAATTACCTAGTTCTGGCATTAAACTCTAGATGGTGCAGGCTGATAGGTCTTAAACACATTTGGTAGCGATCACGTCATTATCTACATAGCTGATTGGTTTGTTGTTGCTTCAGGGGGCAATGAGCTTCGGCTCAACATTCAAACAAATACCGGTAGTGTTGCTGGTAGCTGGTCTGCAGCACGCTTTCAGAAACCCTCCACCTCCCTAGCTCCACCTGTATAGATCTGCGTGCAGCAACAGTAGCATGTTTTACATGCTCACAACAATGTCTGTGAATGTTTTGGCAGTAGCAAGTCTTGGTACTTGCTCTGCAGCAGCAAGCAGTGTGGCCGGCTTCCTTTTGTAACTTCCACCTTCCGCCATCACGCATCACGAGGTGACACAGCAACAGAAAAAACAGTGTGCCCTCGACGTCGACCCATTCGACTATCACGGTTGCGAAGGCATGCGATTATATGATGCTGCCTCAGATCGGAGAGACACTTAAATCTGACTACCTGGAAGGGTACCAACTGAGGGACACTGGGTTTTCAGCTAATTTCATAGAGACCATTCTCAGTGCTACAGCTCCCTCCACTAGAGGATGTTAATCCAATAAATGGGGTGTATCAGCAGGCACATGCCCCGCCACTCTCAGGGTTTATGTGGCCGCTTTATAGGCTTGCTACGCCTTGATTGACGGGGTGCCACTTGAGAAACATCCTCTGCTTGCTCGCTTCGTTCGTGGAGCCTGGCTGCTGAGGCCTCCCGTTAAAACCAAGATCCCTACATGGGACTTAACTATAGTCCTTGAGGGTCTGGTTGAGACCTCTAGGGTCAGCTTTGAACCTTTGAACCTCTAGGGTCAGCGTCTGACAAACTTCTGACTTTTAAGATGGTTTTTCTTATGGCTATCACTTCTTTAAAAAGTATCTTGCATCCTGATCCTGACTTCTAAGGTCCCCTTCTCGACTGTCACTCTTCGAGGCCTTCTGCCCTCACAACGCCGGGTCAGGAGAGACTTCAGAGACTGTGTCCAGTCCGTGCTCTTCCGACCTACGTCCACCGCACTAGACAGTGGTCAGAGCAACTATTTGTTTGTCATGGAGGCCATAACAGAGGCGGCGCTGTATTGCCGTGCTGAAGATGTCCCAGGACTGCTCAGACAAAATATCCTGTCGATGCAGCTGTGGCTCATCCATTTATAGCCTCGCGGCTATAATTATATAGCCGCGCCGGTGACGTCACCGTCCGAGGCTATAAAAGTTCCCGGTCAATTTCATTGACGTGTTGCACACATATTCACAGCTGGTCACGTTAAAGACATTCCCAAAGCGCTGATCGGCGCAGCATCTCGTTCCGCGTTTTTAGGAAACAGGATTACAGTCAAGTAACCCGAGACGTTTTGTATTTATTATCTTTGACCTGATAATGTATTTGGCATGATACATTTACCTGCCATAATAAATTGTTACATTTGGATTTACAGTAGTCTGACTAATTTTTTGATGAATTGAAATTATTAAGTAATGACCAATAACCAATTGGCATTCTAACCTAAATTCGAGGTCGTCATAAAATGGAGTCAGATAAAAGTATAATTGGAGTTAAATTACTTTGCCACGCTGAAAAGTAACACGCAGTAAACCTTCACCCATTTATCGGAAACTGTCGTTGGACCGATTGGGCAGGCCTTACACAGGCATGCTAGAGGCATTCCCATAGCTTCATCATTGGAAGCAGTGCCTCGTTCCCCTCTCTGGGAACCAGGGTTACATGCATAACCTGAGAGTTTTTTTTTATGGTTTTAGTTTTAGTTAACTATAATAACCCTGAGCAGCATGTGCCTGCAGACGGCCCAGTCATTCAAGCAGCTTTGCTCTCATAACTGAGGATTAAGATTTAACAATGGATGCATTC